TTTGCAGTTCCTTCTTCTAGATGGATTGGTTTCCCTTGTTGTGTATAGCCCCACCTCCTCTCATCCCCTGTTGAGGATTATTCCTTGCTTCACCTGTCCCCTTTTGATTTTAACGATAAAGATGACCTTGTGAGAACTCTCACTCTGGCCTGTGTTGCTCTCAGTGTTACTGAAGCTCCTCAGACCTCCCATGTCAAAGTGGTAATCCCCTAGGAAGGAAAATTCTGTTAAAAGGCTAAAAAATGGAAAATGCAATTCTAGCACAGCAGTAAATACATGGTAGGGCTCTGATACAAAGTATAATAGATTTAAAAAGGAAAAGGAAAAGGAAAAACAGTATATTCATTTGAGCATCAACATTACTTTTAATGTCATAAAAATGGAAGCAAATAGCTGACAAATTTAGCAATTGGGTAGAGAAAAACACTATTTGAATACTTTACATGAAAAGTATTTATTTTCTTTTGCCTATGATATTCTATTACTTTACACTGGATCATATTTTTCTTAAGTGAAACAGAATTCTGATCTTACATGACATAAATTCTAGAATAAGTCCACTGAAGCCAATATTCTAAGTTTAAGGAATCTGGCTCCTTGTGATTAAAATCAATAGAGCACATCATCTGATGATACCACTTCTCAAGAAAAGGCAATAAGCCTCAGGCATGCTGTTATTTGATTACACAATTTCACTGACAGGTTGAAAAGCTTAAAAGGTAACTGAGAAATGAACAAGATTTCATTTTCACAGGGAAAGGGTTCATTTCCTTGTTTGAAAGGCCATCACCATGTCATTTCCCCAATGCTTAAAAATCCCCTTCATTATGTGAAGCCTAACTAGAAAATTCTTGTTCTAATCTTTTGATCTAAAAGAAAGATTTCTAGCCAGTTATGGTTGGAAGTTTGTTTTTTTTCCCACAATGCACAAAATCATTTTCAAATATTGATGGTGTTTAGAAGTTTTATAATATTCTATATATGTGTATATTTGGGGAGATCAATAATCTTACATCCATTTTTCCTACATTCTTCTTTCCTCAAGTCTACTTATTTATAAAGGGTTAGAGCCAAAGATCACATTCTTTATTTAGATGAGCTCTTTCAAACTATGTGTGGTCAAGCAAAGTAATTGTGCTACAAATGGAAACATAAGCTTTACCATTTTTCCTCTCACTCTACAACCGCTTGTGTCCTCTAAAAATTTACTTCAAAGAATCCCTCAAACTTCTTCAACAGATTTTCAGACAGCAGAAGCAGCAGAGAAGACGGAAATAAGCAGAATAACTCTCCTTGCTCTTAGGGCAGGGCCCTAAGCAGAGCTAAGTTGACAGAGAAAATTAAAGAGTGAAGTGTGGATGCAACCCAATATTTCCATACAATATAGGATCAATTTATAGTTATTACTCAGGATAAGGATACTTATTGGCACCTTGGATCCTCAGAATAAGAGTTAAATCTAAATACATAAATAAAAATAATTGCATTTCTGTTACAATGACTGTTGACAAAATAAGAATATATGAACAACAGTATTCTGCCATACAAATGCAGCTAATTGCCTATATAACCTATTTTCACCACTTTCTATAACATGGTATGCATAAAATGAGACAGATTCTAAATCCTTCTTTTAAAAAAATCACGCTAATCTAGGCAAACGTATAGAATTTGTTTGAAAAATAAAAACAATCAGCATGTCATAACATGTTAGAAGGAAATTATACTCCAACACATCCAGAGGGTACCATGCTAGTAAAGGCTACACTGAGTTCTCATATCCCCAGTTCCAGACGAATAGCATCCAGGTCAAAAAGTCATTGCTTGCCTAAAAACATGACTTATTTACTTTAAACAGTGTATAAACTCTAAAGCAAAGAACTGAGCTGAAAATATATACCATCCCCACTGAGAAGGAATGACATACAGCCTGATTCTTGCTGTGAAAACATTGCAGACTAAAAAGTTATTTGTTTATCTGTTGCTTTGCATAGAACTCAGATTTTACTTGCCTCTTTAGAACTTGTGTTTTTTAGATTCAGTTTCCAGCTCATTTCTGAACATCCATTACACTACCTGATTTCTGTCCAACTGATAGTGAGCTCTGTGGGTATTACTTTTCAGTCCATTTGTGATTATCCCACATCTCTCCCAACCACAAAACATCCTTTTCCACTGAAAATGTACTTTAATCATTGTTGCTCATTTTTATATATACTTTTATTTCTGATCATGGATTGCCGAATTAAATCACTCAGCTGATCTGGAACTGACACACTGTAGTTTCATTCCGGCTATTTTTTCATAGTAGGTTGGGTATTCTGTGTACTGAAGATACTGTAATATGGCATTACAGTATTTTTTATCACATTGCAGCAGATATGAAGTATTAGTTGTATAGGATGAATTGTACTGAAATATATGGTACTATTTTGTTTTATGGTGGCATATAGCAAGTGAAGACAATATTTTTTTAGATCAATGGGCAGAGGTGGAATTTGAAAGAATGCTGCAGGTACTGTTAGAAAATGGAAGCTAGCACACAGTAAGTCATGTTTACACATGGCCAGTCACAAAACACCAAATAGTAGAAGGCAACACATAACCCCACAAAATGCTTGCCATCTATCAGAGAGGTACACAATCAACCAACCAGTTCAATTTACTTTAAGCTGCATGTGATGTTAAAACTGGGATGTGCAAAAATGTTATGTGAAGGAAGCATATTTTGATGAATATCACACCAAAAAGAAAATATGTTTGGATATTCAATGTGGAACACATTAAAGTTACATTTTTCTAAAGATCAGTATTT